CACTCCCCCTGTCCACACACAACATTTTCCGTGATTAGGCGTGATTAGGCATGATTCTTTATTGAGTTTCAGTTCGAAACGATGCCCAAACCTGCGTTTCGGTAGACTAGTTTCGTTATACGATGTATCGTTAGTGAGCGTCCACACACACAATTTCATCGTAAAACTATCGCGAAACGGTATAGCTAATCACGGAAAATGTTGTGTGTGGACAGGGGGTTAAATACCTAAATATTTCTACTGGCACATCGAGTCCTCTTTCATTTCCTGAAAAAAAGATAATAAGGTACATGTCCTTGTAATAACACAGCTATCCTGTTCCTGATCAATTTAGGAAATGATAATCAGAGAATTAGGAAGTTAGGTCATTGAAAAATTACAACATGGCATACCAATGCAGGAAGAGGGCTAGCCTTTAAACAAGGCCACTTGTCTGATAGACGCCGAGCGACTAAAACGAGACTAATCGTGAAAACCCAAGTGAACGAGAGAGCGAGAAGCCCTTCCAAGTAGCCTTTATCAATTTGGTTTGGATTTCTTATGTTAACCATTGTTTCCGACTGGAAATCGCTTCAGAAAATAGATCGTCCAATCAGCGAACGTATCCTCGCACGACGTCAGCATATAGTATCCATCGCACATACACACTCACACAATAAACTCTACGTAGTACGAACATGGACCTACTATGAACTATTACGTACGTGCTAAGACCACTGACCTCTACATGGAACGAATCACGAACGAAGCCAACTGGGAGATCGCCGTTATGATGGTCAATAAATCCAAAGTAGGCGTATTGGCATGCTAATATGTATCTATGAATAATTCATGCAGAGCAGTGACACCTACTTTCCAAAAGGCCTCGTGACATTCGTCACTCGGTCGCGCGTTCACTCCGGGTATCTAGACTCATCTCAGCCGCTTAGCCAGAGTCACAAGGCCTTGTCAAAAGGCTAGAAGAGGGCTGGAAACAGTTTCAAAATATCCCAAGCAAGGTCTGAATTTGTCAGACTAAGCATTCCCTAGCCATCACAATGCATTGACCCTGCACTTATCCAGCTGGGGAGATACCCACAACAATAAGCACATGCGTGTGTTGTTTGTACCGATTTGCTGTTCCTTAGAAGTATACACAGTATTATAAATTCACAAACTGGTACTCGTGGGAGTGCGGGAGAGCTGCACACAGCACAACAATACAGAGTCATAGCACTTGCACATGTTTGTTTATACTGGTGGAAGAGAGATATCACTGAGAAATATGGATGAGGAATACGGCTGATATTAAACATTTTATGAGCTGTCTGGAAGGATATAGTGAATGAATTGGCTTGGAATGGTTTCACTTTCTGACAGGTCTGGATGATGATGGATGATCGTGTTTAGTAAGTGTGATAATATGTTGTTTGTAGTGGTAAAGGCGAGGTCAGATAACTTGGTACCTGCATTTGTAATGGCATTCATTCAGCACTAGTGCTTCACCTTATATACTTGTATATCTATTTTCCTCTCCCTATATCAGATTTGTATGGTATCCATGTTGATTAGCTTGGTTTTAATTGTCTTTACTGTAATCACATGTGCACACTATTCTTGTTTGTCAATATGTGTATCTCTGTCTGGCTTTTTATCTGCCTATAACCCCCCCCCCCCCTCCCATTCTCTCTCTCTCTCTCATTCCAAGATTTATGATTATTTCACGAAGATCTTTAATTAAGCATATGCCAACAACCTGTAATTTGTTGTAAGATTGTTTTTGTGTTATTGCAGTTCCTTTTGACATCTCAACCTTTACTTAGATCTTGCCACATCTCACTAATTGAATATGGTCTTTGTCCTTCAGACTACTTGCTTGTTTCTATAAATAGGTGCAGCGCTCAAGAATTTATGATTTGTGTATTTTGGTGGATAGTGTCTGGAGAAGAGAGAGTGTAAACAAACAATATTCTGACAGAATTAAGAATGAAAAAAGTTGTTATAAAGTGATCTTTTTCATCACATTTGGGAGCATAGCTAACACTATGAATATGACGAACAAAGAAAGCGGACAAAATATACAGTTCCTCAGGTAGATAAAGGAACATCCCTTCACTGCTATTATGTAAAAAGGATATGCATGTGACACCTGTTCCTTTGTCTACCTGAGGAACTGTATATTTTGTCCGCTTTCTTTGTCAGTCATATTCATAGTGTAAATGGGTGTGCAGGCAGGGTTCGACACCACCCTGTCGACTCCTCTTTAGGGGTTATTACCTGTATTGAATGAAACACACATTATCAGGAATTATTTCTATTTCCTTATTTGTTGATGAAGTATTGGATCTGTTTCACACAGGGGTTGTGTAAAAAATATATCTAAGGTGCACTATATTTTGTGTAAATTGTTATTTTGTATGTGTATGAATTGAGATTTTTGTTACAGTAGGTACAAAGCAAATGGGAGAGGTCGTTATCACGGAACTGCTAATTTGCATTTGATTTTAAAATACTAATTTTAGACATTAGCTTCTAACTCATTGAATTTACCTCGACCTTTCCCATATATGTAACTTTGCGAATATGTCATAAAGGTGAACATGATCATTTAGTGAAAGATGACTTATGGCCTTTAAATTACGTTCTGTAAATTTACTTTATAAACTGACAGCAGCTGTGCACTTGGAATATGGATCAATAACATATGCTTGACACAAGGTGATATTTACAAATTAATTACATTCAGGTGAAGCTGTAGGATGCAGTAGACCTGTACTGTATACCTGTCTTTTCAATTTGGATTCTTAATTTTTCAGATTTTGTCCATTTGTTCCTTGCTTTAACCCTAATAAGGCAGGGGGAGGGGGGCATTATGCCCCCCCTCCACGATTTTTCTAAATGCTCGGGAACGCATATGGATGGCGCCCCACCGCTCGCTGACTTTATTTCTTTCCAGTCTTGCGCAACTTTTAAAATAATTTTTTTGAAAATCGGACCTACGGCTACAAGGTCACGTGACCTTTTGTCTTTGCATGTCAGCCAGAAAATCACTCATTTTCGTGATTTGTGTACAAAACATGGAAAAGTCATTTTTCCTAAAAACAGATCAAACATGGGTTATTGGGTCTTGTTTAAAGTTTAGGTAGTTGTTTTGGGAGTCAAAATAGTTAATTGTAGTAAGAAATGAAATAAAACAACAAAAACTATGGAATACATCAGTTAAAAAAACAATGAAATACATAAGAAATTATCAAAACAAGGGATAACATACGGAATAAGCTGGCACTTCCAAATTTTTTTGTCGTATTATTATTCAGAATGGTCTAATGAATAAAAGTAGTGAAAAAGAATGCTTAAATATGAATAATACATGATTTATGGGTAAAAATATGATTTTCATGACTTTATTTGCATAAATTACCATAAATATGCAAATGAGTGATTTTTTCAAAAAATTGAAATTATCATATTATTCTATACACTTCACTTGACATGTGTTCAAATTTTCGCGGCGATCGGCCGCTGTGCGGCCGAGATCTTAAGGGGGGGGGGCAATGGCCCCCCCCTGGCCGTACTAAGACCTCAAATAGCCCGGCCTTTTTAGGGTTAACTTAAAATACAGTGAAAATGTCCATTTTCACCATAAGAAATAAGAAATTTGCTTTTTAGTTTGATGCTACCTTTAAAAAAAAAATGAAAGTTTAATATAGAAGCTAGTCACTCATGGCTAGATACTAACAGGTGCCCTTGATACAAGGCTACCCAGAATCTAAGTCAAGAACTCCAAAATTATTTTATACAAATTATATCAGATTTTGGATTTAGTCAACAAAATTAAGTCTGGACTCCCTATAAAAAAAAGATAATGTGGAGCCCTTGGTCACTTTAAGTTTACGATGTACACATGAAGTGTAATTTAGTAAGATCAGCAATGTCCATTATCAACTAGAAACTGCAAGTATATCAACATCTGAGTTGAGAGCCAGAACGGTGTTGACTTTTACCACTTTAAATTGACTTAATACCCTTCTGCCTCTCAAGAAACTATATGGAGGGATTTTGACATAAATAATAGGCCCTCATGATTGTAAATTCTGCACATAATGAGTTTAATTGCGAGTATAGCCAAATGATAATTTATTGTTTAACTGATAATTATAGATCAATTATACATTATAAATTCATCATTATTCTAGTAACTCCTTTATTTTCAAGGTGAACTGGAATAAGGTTGTAAAAAAAATAGAAAAACAGCAACTTATTACACCCAATAAATCTACTTATTGGGCATTAATTTTATCACTCCCCTATTAAACAGGTATTTAGCGAGACAACATATAATTTGAACTCTTTCTGTCCTTTGGTATTGTCATCATAAATTGCAAAGTCCAAAGTCATAACGATCTAGACTAGGAATAGAAATTTATGAACCCCCTATAAAGATTTCACATATATTGCAAAATAAAGTTGTATAGCTGCTATTTGCTAGAAATATTGTTTGCTTTTAAGATGAGCAGCTCACGTAAGCATCGATATGAAACCGTCTTTCCTTTACTGATCGAATAAAAGTTGCAAATTGTACATTGTTTTAGTAGTCACGGAGCCGTTATATTCTTTAACGTGCACATGAATCATGTTTGGGAGTCCACATTTCAGAAGATTTGGTCTACAAACATTTAACATAGGAAGAAGTGTTGTGTCTAAAGGAAACAGGAAGAAAATTACTTTTCTTTGACTATTCAAATGTTAGTGGACATTGAAGTTACATTCCCTAAATTCATCCATTTTTGTTGATGATGTCGCTCTTTGTGAGGATACTGGTGTCATCGTCCGGAACTAGACGCTGCTGGATCAACCATTTCTCTTTGTTTGAGGCCACATAACTAGACCTTGCAGAACTACAATTGAAACCACAACTTTTTGACAATTTCCGCAGACTTTGTCAAAATGTCAAGATTAAATATTGACTATTTCACCCCGGGACCTCTCCTCCCCTCTCTTCTCTCTCTTCAACTTGACAGCTTACGTAAGAAGTCGCGACCCCATGACCCCACCCGGCATGTCCAGCTGGCTCTGGACATGGTCAAGGAGGAGGGAACGCCCCCAACCTCACGGAAGTACAAGAAGCGGGACGACGGCCGGCCCAAGGTGCAGATTCGGATCGGGGACGATGAAGAGTCCGAAGAGGAAGGCGATAAGGTGGATAGCGGAAGAGATGATCTTAATGAGAATGGTGAGTACATGCAGCTTTTATATTTAAAACAATTTCAAGGAATATAGTTAACCACTTTTACTTGGTATCTTAATATTAAATCATAGGTCACATTTATTAATATAAAGAAAAGCAGGTTATGTGGTGTAAGTAGTTGATTTTATGATCAGAAATTTTTTATCATTGAAGGCGGCAGTTTCAACACAAAGAATAGTTTCATGAATTTTTCGAAATTTGATGTAAAAATTCCAGTTTCTAAACCCTCCTTCTCCCTTTTTTCTGTTTATTTCCTCCGCTCATTTCTCTTTCTTTTTTTTCGCTACTCCTCTTTATCTCTCATTCTTTTCTTTCTCTATTTCTCTCTCTCTCTCTCTCTCTCTCTCTCTCTCTCTCTCTCCTCATGCTTTTACTCTAGTATGTATGACTGAGAGAAGAAACACAATACACAAACCTCCCAAATAACAAACAGCTAATAGTACAACCAATATTTTTCCTTGAGAGCGGGCGAATACAATACCAACCATGATCAGTGAAGTGAAACCACTTGTGAATTGACAATAACCAGTGTAGTCAGTAAAACTACAGTTCGAGATTAAAGGTACTACAAAGTTTTGGTATGGGGTCAAGAAATTGGTTCAAATAAACATATTGGAAGCATATGCAAGCCTGTATACCGGTAGCTCCCTTTATTAAGCTATAAAACAATTTCTTGACTAAAATCGACCGATTTGCTATTTCCGTTTGGAAATTATATATCACAAATACATATTCTGAGATTTTCATCGTCGCAGCTACCATTGTACGGCCGTAGACGCTATTTGAAATTTATCAAAATTTACCGGGAGCACCGGTAAATTTGTATATTAAATTTTTCTTGAAAGCAGAAGTGTTTTAGGGGCTTAATTTTCTAGAGCTTATAATACATCCACAGGGGCATCCAAATATATCAAAATTGTAAAGAATTACTATCCACCCAATTTTCAAAATTTCCAAAAACTTTGTATTACCTTTAAACAAAAGCTCTCGAACATGTTTTGATTATGTCGCTGTTCATGGTGAATATACTTGCATTGTTCAGATATAATTGAGCATTGGGCTTGAATGCCGTTATTATCATGTGACATATTTGAGGTAGCACATACAGATGTGTTTATTTTGGCTCAACTTCTTTATTTCAGTGGAACATTAATTGAGGGGATTTTATCAGTTTTTTCCTCCTTTATCCAAAGCTGTGGGTAGAGTCCACAGATCAGGTACTACATGTACTATAGTCTCTATTGAATTGTAAATCAGCATTTGTTTGCGGATTAGATTCGTTTGATGAATAAGTTGCTGGTATGTACTGGAAATGTTTCAGCCTGTGGAAGTACCTGCTATTTGTATGTAATCATGCATTGTTAGTTTCATGAATGTGGCTACTTGACAAAGAAGGATTAATAAATTAGTTATGTGAACGCAGTGCATTTGAGACTTTGAGTAGCTTTGAACCGAGACCCACTGTGGAACTGTTTCAGGAATGACGGCAAGAAGTCAATGCACATATGGTTCCCGGAACTTTGAGTTTGGATCCTCTCTGGAACTGATTCGTCGAGGCCGTCAAGAAGGCAGTGTCTGTGCTTGGTTCCACTTCCAGTAGCCTTTCTTTTGATTTGTGGGTGGCATACAAGAAGGCAATTTCCCTTGGTTCCATTATCTTTGTGCATGGATCCATTCTAGAACCGATTCATGAGTGGCCTCAAGCAGACAGTTCAGTTAATTCCAATAGCTTTTCACTGGAAATGGTGAAATGGTGATTTTACATTTGGCATACTTGGCATACTTCGGTCTCTGCTTGAAGAATCCAAAGATATCATTCTTGCAATGAAGTGTGACAGTTGTCCTGGCCTAGTGATGTTCAAAAACTTTTGAGAGCATATAACTTCGGCATATTTGTATTTCGATATACCCTGATGAAAATCCTGGTGAAAATAAATCAGGGATAGACAATCGAATTTAAACCATCAGCAACAAGAACAACTAATCAATTGCTACGTATCAAGTCTTATGAAGGCCTAGAGTCTCTGAAGTAGAATGAATGTAGAGGAAAATGCCAGAAAATTTCCAGAAAAAGACAGCAGATATGGTTCCTGGCAACAGGAAGGAATCGAACTGAAACAACGTAAGTCAACATGATATGTAGTTCAGCAAGGCTCCACCAAACTTGGGATGACCATAGAGTGAGATAGATGGTGGTTTTGATTTCTAATGTTTCTTTATCTCATCAAAATTGTCGTCATGTTAGAGTGTTCAAAAGTGAACAGTTGTGTCGATTTTCTGTTTTGCAAGTGGGAGGAGGGAGTTAAATCAAATCTGGGCTGACTCAATAATGTCCAAATAGTGAGGCCAAGTTAATATGCTTGCATATTTTTGAATGAGATTATTATTTTTTAGACTGAATTTAGTTTTCAAGTTTTTATAAAAAATGTGTAAAGTACAAGTACATCCATTGTGTTGCTTGCTTTTTACCTCTCACAACACAATCATGATGTGATGCTGGGCTAATACAATGCCATCACAGTTCACACTGTATTTAACTGTTCAACATATTAAAACAGAATTTTACGCTCAGTAGATGTGATATTGAGGAAACTACATGTATGTTTCTCTTTTGCTAGTTGCTGAAGAGATCAAGGATACAATTTATGGCTTAATTACGAAAATGAAATTGATTCTTGCCCAGGCAAGCTCTGACTTCCTGTTCCCAAGCTGAACAGAGGAAATCAAAATTGTTTTGTACATGTACATATACCGTTTCTGTTTTACAACATTGCATTTTGGAAGGAAATTGTACAAGAATGGTCACCCTTATTCAAGCACAGTGCAAGATTGCCAACGCTATGAGGTATTTGGTTGAATCATGGTGGTCATGAGGAGGAGTATCCTCATTATCTCTTGGATATCAAAGGAAAGAGATAAAGTACATTATCAATTTGAAAGGAGCAATTAATAAGAAATTATTTCATGTTTCAAGCTTGAAAGCAATGAAACAGTACCAGTTACTGTCACAAGGTATGTTGAAAAGTAACGTGTTTCATTCTTTTTAACTCGTTGAGTTGACTACTGATTACTTTTCAGCCTATTACATGAAACACTTTTTTTCCTGTAGGCAATGGGTTGATTTAGAGAAAATGAACTACTAGTTAAATGTTGGTTTTTCTCACCAGTTAGCAAAATTTGTGTGAAATAGAGGTAAGATTATGTATCAGATGATGTTTGAAGGTTTGCATGGTGGTATGAACAATCGCGGAAGAGGTTTACGGTACACCATGTGTAAAGTCCTAGAAGGACTAAGGAAAGTGGATAGAAATAGAAGTGAAATGGAAAGGCGAGAAAGTGGAGGTTGGAAGGAAGAGTATCTTTCGGAAGTGAGTATAGTCCTGAAAAGGACTGTAAACCAGAAAGTTGTAGACAGCATGAGAGGTTTGAGTAGAAGACTGGATTGAGTTGGAGAGTTGAGTAGGTTAGCGAAGCTGGCTTGAGTCGGCGAGTAGAGTTGCAGAGCAGGAGTAGGAGAGTAGACTCGACGTTTCGGACAGGTTGACTGTCCGTCTTCAGGAGTCACTTTACAGTCCTTTTCAGGACTATACTCACTTCCGAAAGATACTCTTCCTTCCAACCTCCACTTTCTCGCCTTTCCATTTCACTTCTATTTCTATCCACTTTCCTTAGTCCTTCTAGGACTTTACACATGGTGTACCGTACCTCTTCCGCGAAGATTATGTATATTTTGAAATGTCTGCAAGCATCTTGACAGGGCTTCTGTGGTATCCCTCGAGTTGGAGCTGTTGTAAGTTGAAATTGTACAGTATTGTACTCTTTCAGGCTTTACCCATTAGATTCTTCAGAAGATACTGCTATAAAAGTAAAATGAAGTACTTTATCAATCCCGAAAGGAAATAGAAATGGCTGTTTGTTTTTCTTTTTTTATTCCTTTCATGGAATTCACGTTCAGTATATTAGTCATTTTCAAGGGAAGGGGTGGGGATGACATAGCAAAACTGTTCTCTGTTGTCTGGGAGATATTCTGCTCTGTTATATGTTTTCTCATGAAGTGCTACAATGTTTATTGTATATTATCAACATCTGACTCAAAACAAAATTGAAACTGTAATCAGACCAGATCAAATTTCCTGTGTGTCTCCTTGGTTAGGGGAAACAGTTATGCAATTTAGATAAGCAAGTTTACAAAATAATGATCATTGAAAAAACAGGTAACCACTAGTTCGTCATTAGATGTTTCATTATATTGTTGGACATTGGAAGAACACTACATAAGTTTAGGTCGGATGCACAGATGAATGAGGTTTTGATGGGAAGGGAAATTTATTCAAAGTAGAGATTATTTTCAAGTGGAAAACTCTATTGGACAAGGATGAGACGACGCTTGCTCTCGGCAGAAGAAGGTATTCTTGAAAGAAATTGACCATTTGCCTGCTGGAGTGGAATTGGTGGATCCTAGATTGACCCTTTAGGATCGAGAGAATCAGTAGTTCAATGTTTATGCTATTGGAGACCAGCTAGCATCTATTGAATTCTCTAATAGGGCGTGTGTTTGCGAGTCGTGTATTAAAGCTATCTTGATGTGGATTTGTTTGTATGGTACTGTGTTGAATGCATCAACTCCAAACAACTTTTGCCCTAATTTCAGTGGAAACTAAATCTTGAAAAAAGAAAAAGAAAAAAAAGCATTACCATATTTGCTTTCTGCACCACTTGGGGCAATCCTTTGTGTCGCCTATATTTGCGTTAGAAGTTGAAATACAAGGTGACTCTGCTACATGTATCTCATGTAAATTGTGATTGACAACATGATCTGTTGCCTGTTGGTATTGGAACAAAATGCAATACTTTATCCTGCAAAGTCCTGTGTCCTAGGTTTTGGAAGTGATATCCACATTTTCGGCGTTAGGCAACATATACTAACTTCAATACTTAAAAGTAGGACTAGGATCAAAGTGATCTGTCTCTGCTGAATATGGTGAAACTCATATCATGGACCACAGAGTCTAATATCGACAAGACTCCTTTTGAAGGTTTAATAGAACTCAATGATGACATGAGACATGACAGCTAGGCTTTCAGCAAGCCATACCTAATAACATCTGTTGATGAATGTTGGTGACGTGGGACATTATTGGAAATGCTCAAATATGAATAAGGCAGGCATAAAAGTGGTTTAATTCTAATGATTTTGTTCCCCTTGTTTTTCTTTTGCAGGCTACAGTGGAAGGAGGAGAGGTAATTTTAATGTCACTCAAGAGAGGTTTCCTATCAATTTCAAGAGAGCACATGAACCTCATGAGGTAAGCCTTCCAACTCCCAATTTTATTTTTATGTTTTTTAAACTTTATTTATGCATCTTTTAAAAATCTGAAATTGGATTGTATTTTATATATGTATCTATTTCAATAATCTGCTTTGTGTAGAAGAAAAACAAAAACATCATAAAACTTTTTCTCTATTCGGTTGTCACTAAAAAAAGACTCATAGAGGACTTTTGAACATTTATATCAAATAATACATCTAGGGCAAAAGTATGATAAAATTATTACTTTTGAGAAAAATGCAAATTCATGAATTTTCTATACTTTACATTTTGGTATCAGTCGTCATAACCATAAAATATCAACACTTTCATATTCTCTATCAGACTTTTCTCAACACTCACATTGACCCAATTATGATATCAGGGTTGACTTCCCCCTATAAAATGATGGCTCTCACACACAACTTCTTTTTAGAATTTTCTTTATTTAGAACCACAACGCATTTAAACTGAAAAGAACAATACTTGCCACTTATTGATTTATTGAAATACATAATTGATTCATATATTTTGTTAGTATATAACATTATTAGTATTGAATTGTATTGTAGCATATTTCACCATAATTTTTGTATCTGTATGTTTTTATGTTTGGGGTTGCTTGTTTACAAGTTTTTAACTTATTTTAGCAATCACGGTATTTGTAATGATTTCATTTTGATTTTTATCTTTTGCCAAATAAATGTGAATTGAGTTGAATCTATTATGTTTTATTTTGTGGTGTCGTACACAGCTCTTTGTGCAGCTGGACTCCTGGCAGTACAACCAGAACCAGTCCGAGGAGGGCTTCGTGGAGAAGATCTGGAAGGAGACGGCAAGATGGATCAAGTTTGAGGAGGATTGGGAGGTAGGGTCAGAGAGGTGGGGTAAACCTCATGTAGCCTCCCTCACCTTCAACAGCTTACCCCAGCTCAGGAAGGGGCTAGAAAATGGTAGGTGCAGAACAGTACAGTCTAAACCTGCTTTAGTGACCACCTGTATAGAAAGACCACCTGTCGTTAAAGACCACATTTTTTTGTTTCCCTTGAAAATGATGCCTCATTGGAACACATACTGAAGGAACCTGTACATAAAGACCACCTGCCTGTAAAGATCACTTTTTTTTGTCTCCCTTGAGCGGTCTTTATATACAGGTTCCAATGTACTTTAGCTTTGGTCCCACATTGTGATGATATTACAACACAATAGTTGTTTTTGTCTGAAAGTAAATAGCTCCATCTTGTGTTCGTATGGTTATAATGTAACTTATAATTATTGAAATGTATGGTGCTACAGATATAATTTACTGATAAATATGTCTCAACCATGAAAGGTTTAAAACAGCTTACAACCCAATGTCCAGCTTATTGTTTATAGCTTATTAATTTCTTGCAAATGAAGTTGATATTCATTGTGAAAGGGTTTGGTCACTCCATGACTGGAAGACAAGACATCTGCAGGAAAAAGGGGGAGGGGGTGGTTGGAGATTTAGCTCTGGAACATGTAAACGTGTAGCATTCAGTTTAAGTTGTATTTGATTCTGAGTGACTATATTTTCTATTACTACCAGAATCAAGATTATAGACTTCATAGATATATATATATATATATACATCAGATGAAAGATTAAAAAGTTTTTTCCATTGATGTTGTCAGGGTTGATGCTGTTGGATTGTAAGAGGACCACCTTACAAGGCATCTTTGACGCTATACTTGATGGTCTGGAGGAGGAACACAACATGGGCAGAAACGATCGTATGCTCATCTCTAAGATGCTCAAGGCAAGCGCTGGCAGGTTAGTAATCTCTTACTCAGTCGCTCATCATAGTCCCATTATTTAGACTTAAAGCCCCACTGCACTACTTATAGCTACTTGCGCCCTCTATATAACAAACAATGCATAATCGGTGACCATTGGTCCCCCATGATCCCCTTTTTCCTATGTTAATTGAGAGCTGATTTGATGAGATAACCACCTGTCCAGTGACCTTGCAGGGTGGTCTAATCCTTCCTGTACACTAGTACAGATGGGCTTTAAGACTTAACCCTTTGATTCCTGGATGCTGTGGTTCTGGTACTAAATCTGTTGGTATGGGAGAATTCAGTCATTAAGGGGGTGCATGGGGACTGAACACTGTATAGAAACTTGGCTTGAGCAGTAGAAGCAGAAGATTCTTAAAAATATTAGTGAAAGCCTGAGAACTAATCGTCAAGGAATATGAAAGTTACAATTTTTTTTAAAGCTGAGATCAATGAGGGTTTTGAAAATCTCCCATTGTCATTGCATTCATTTTTATGATGTCATAGTTGGTCTCCATGTGTTTTGTACTTTTCCTTATTGAAAAAAAGTTTTTTCCATTAAGAATGTTGAGAAAATAAGTAATGTGGGGTAAAAGGGAGAACAGAGATATGTGATGTTTTCCAAATTATCAGTGATCTCAACTTTGAAAAATGTCAATACTTTCTAATTTCTTATTTTTCCTGATCTGTCTCAGGCTTATACTTATCTGTTTCTCTGATATTTCTCTTCCTACTCATACCCAGCAACTTTGAGAAGTCAGTTCCCTTTATTTCATAGGTCTCCTAGTTTATTTCATTTTCACAAACACATTCTCCCATCAGTTGTAATCATAAGGTGTAGGTTATTCATTTTTCCATCTTTTTAATATCATACCCATTTTAGTCATTGTGAATTGTAAGACCACCCATTCATTCACATAATACACATGTAGTATTACGAAATGCATACAAATTAAAGTAATGGTCCATCAAATCAGGAGAAACCCCAATGTAATGGATAAAGTAGGTAAGTAAATTTTGAGAAAGGATACAAAAACTGTAAAACAAAGCAGTAACCGGTATTTAATTGTCAACATGTTGGGATAACGATTGTGCTATTGATTACAATTCTCATTGCCTTCATGGACTCATCAGCATTCATCTGCATCATTCTAAGTTGCTAAGAGCAATGAGGTAAGAGACACTTCATATATCACTAGTTTCATGCAATCATCCTTGGTGGCTTGACATTTGCTCTATTTCATTAAAAATCTAGGGTTTAGGTTAGTGTTTCAAGTGATTTTTTAGAAGAACTCAACAATAACAGGTGCAAGTGCGAAGAGGCATCAAACTTTTCACTCTGGACCCCTCCCCCCCCCCCCCAAAAAAAAAAAAAAATAATAATAATAAAATCTTGATCGTTGGGCTACTTGAGTTTATGGTTAGGTTTGGGCATTATGTTAGGTCAAGGGTTGAAGTTAGGAATTTGAGACCAGCAATAAGTGGGCTTGGAGCAAATGTCAAAGTTCATCTGTTCATTTTTATCATCCCCCCCCCCACCCTACTGCCCTCACTGTCACTGCTGTTATCAAGCGTATTCTCGTCTCAATAATGCACATTGTTGGTTTGTTTGTTTTACCTGACTGCTAAGAAAGCTTGTGTGTGCTTGTAAGTAAGCAAACAGGGGACCGACGGCTTTCGGTCCTCTCCGAGGGACTTGGTAATGAGGATAAATAATGCCTTACCAAAGTGTACTACTGTATCGACATGGTTTCGAACTCAGTCGGGACCTTCTGGTCATGAGACCACTGCTCTACCACTATGCCATCATGCCTCTGTGTGAATCGGGTAGAGCTAAAAGTGCCTGCTGAGAGGCAGAAGGGAATTATATTACATTCTTTAATACAGAGATAATGCCCTTCTCGCTCTGAATAGATAAGAAGTGACTTTCTGTGTATGAAAACAGTGCATTTGCTGTTAATGAGGACATATTTGCAGTCCTGTAATTGATAACCCATCTCTTTTTCCCACAGGCATTGTTTTGACTAACCGTATTACGAATGGCCTCACTTTCAAATGGCCTCACTTACAAATGACCATGACCACATATTATCCCTTGCAAGCACTTTTGGTGTCTCTATACCTTTATTTTAGTTTGGTGCTATTGTGATTGTTCATTGGCTGTTGTCTTACACCAACATGTATGTGCAGTTGTCTAATAGTAATGAAAATACATGTATGCTATTTATACCCCCCCCCTCCCCTCTTTTCCTCCTTTCTCTCTCTTTCCCTCTTTCCCTCCTCTCTCTCTTTCTCTCCTCTCTCTCTCTTTCTCTCCTCTCTTTCTCTCCTCTCTTTCTCTCCTCTCTCTCTCTCTCTCTCTCTCTCTCTCTCTATCTCTCGCTCGCTTTCTCTCCTCTCTCTCACTCTCTTTCTCTCCTATCTCTCTCTCACTCTCTTTCTGTCTTTCTCTCCTCTCTCTCTTTCTCTCTTTCTCTCTCTCTCTCTCTTTCTCTTTCTCTCTCTCTCTCTATCTCTCTCTAACTCGTTTGAAACTTTGAATCTTAAATCTTTGTTGACTACTCTTCAGGATGGAGTAATGGCAATAGTATGTACAATGTATTTCAGTTTCTGCTTTTGTGTTTGACTGTACGCACATTTTTGTATTCCTGTTTTTCTTTTAGTCAAAAAAAAGCAACTGTATATACATTCATGTATTTCTGTGTTTGACTGTACATACATCAATTTCATTCTCTATCTTGCAGCAACCATGAAGAGCCAGCTGGAATCGTGAGAGCATCCATAAGACGGCTGTCTACCATCGCTGATTTCAGCCACCACCGCACCTCCCACCAGCATCAGGATCCGAACTCCACCCCTCTAACCACCAGTAGATCCATGAGCGCCATGGAGGATTCCAGTCGTACGGCAATCAATGGCAACGGGGTAAGTGATGAAGTTTTTTTCTGTCCTAAACAAATCATTTGACATTTTCCAAGCTGAGAAAGATGTTGAATATATATATGGCTACTTGGTCACAAAGACAGGGGAAAATATAGAATTTAAGTATGGAATCTAGATGTAGAATTTTAAGATTAAATACTCCACATAAATTCTGAATCCTTTCAGTGGTTAGCCTTCTAGATTTCGGGAGTCTTATTCAATGGTTTCATTTATTAATATTCCATCGATCTAGGGCAAGCAAATCTGCTCCTTGGGGGGGGGGGGGGCATTTTAATCATTTGGAGATGATTTCATTGTCATTTGGAATGTACATCCAGAGGATTATCTCAAGATATCTTTGGGTTAATGTTAAGAAAGGTTGTTTTACACAAGGGACATTCTAACAAGGAAAAGACTGAATTCTGTCAATATGAATTGATTGAAAATCGAAAGAAAAGCAGTGTTTGCTTCCACATTTTAGTTTTCAATCATTTCATTAGGTTTACAATAGCCTTTAAACTGGATCTGCAATAGTGAACAAGGTAGCTGAAACTTTATGGCCCGAATTCACAAAGGAGGTTTAAATTTAGACAATGGTCTAAAAATTAGTGCAAAATAAGCGTGAAACAGTCAGATGTCCAATATTAGACGCGTGCAAGGCAAGGTATGCTTATTTTGCGCTAATTTTTAAACCATGGGTTATGTAAATGAGGGTTAACCTTAACCTCCTTTGTGACTTTGGGCCTATTTGTCCATTATCCACTTGTAGTTCATGGAATTAGAATCCAAGGCCTCCATGATTGAGGCTCACCAGCAACAGGAGAAGATCATCCACCTCAAGGTCGCGGGTGACAACAATGATAACAGGCCGCCCATCAACCGCAACCTCTCCTCCACAACCCTAGCTGCCATACAGCAGCACAAGTCCGACGGCATCATCAAGAAGATCCCGCCAGACTCGGAGGGCGCCCTTGTGATGGTTGCTAGGGAGGAGTACCTTGAGGCACCGTACATGGTCCTGGTCCGGCTGGATGAACCCATCCTCTTTGAGAACTTACTGGAGGTGCCAATACCACTAAGGTAGGTTTAAAGAGAGAGAGAAAGGGTGGTGGGGGGGGGGTTGTACAAGAAAGGAAAGGAGAGTGAGAAAGAGAGACGGGGAGAGAGTGAGGGAGAAGAGAGACATCTTCTAAAATATTTCAATTTTAGGTGTATTTACATTTTTTTTTAAATCTTACTTGTATGCTCATTTAAGCTTCGTATTGGATATATGTGGTGGACATGATATTTTGTTTCACAAATCTGGATTGACTTTTTTGTTTTGGGGGGGAGTGGGGACTTGTCGCAGCGAAATTCATAATTCCAGTTTACCAATCACCAAAACATGATTTGCTCTTGATGTCAAAGTTTCATGTTGCTGTGCTGTCTTCAAACTCTGAGCATGGATTATTACATCTACAAAGAGATATTAAAGTTAAATACACTCTCAGTGAACATAAGAATGGCTCGTTGAGTAGAATAGGAAACGCACACATATGCACTTCCTTAGGATATGGCACAAAACCCAAATCAAACAAACATGGGATCTGAGCACTAGTTATCCTTTATTTCTTACATACTCCTTAAGCATTAACCTATAGAATGCCCTTTTAGGTTGATTATATACATTCTACATATAGTTATACACAAATTATTTCCCCCCATGATTGGTACTCTTCAAAAGTCATGTACCATTTACTTAAAAATGTCAGAAATGATGGATTATAATTTGATTGCCTCTCATGCTTCGAGTCCCAAAAGCAATCACTCTCTGCTATTTTCTTTCATCAGGTACATTTTCTTGGTAACCGGCCCTCCCATGCCAACCCTCAACTACCACGAGGTGGGCCGCGCCCTTGCTACCCTCTTCTCTGACGAGGTCTTCCGGAACATCGCCTACTCCGCCCGTGAGAGGAAGGACATCTTGGTAGGCATCAATGAGTTTCTCAACGACACCATGGTGCTGCCGCCGGGAGATTGGGATAAGGAGCTGCTGATGCCTATCACCAGGTTACAGAAGAGAGAACAGGAGAAGGTGAACAGGAGGAGGAAGACGCTCAACTTGAAGGAGGAAGATACAGCGGGTAAGGGATGAAATAGAGTTGTGTGTTTGAGATAGAACCATTGTGTTCATGCTAAGTTGTGTTGATGTTATGAAGTACTGTTAGCAACTGCTTTGGATAATTCTCCGATATCAAAAATATGATGGTAAGGGCAGGGCCCGTTGCACAAAACTTACCATTGATGGTAACTTTGCCATCAATGATAAGTACCATGGAAACCTTGATTTTGGTTGGCTGTTGAGCCCTGTTACCATGGTAGTTGCCATTGATGGCAAAGTTACCATGAATGGTAAGTTTTTATGCAACGGGCCCAGGTTTATAAAAATTTACAAAAATTTACCTAACTATTTCAATCAATGTAATTTACAGGTGCTATTCAAAATTTGACTCTGCCATGAATTTAATCATTCATCATTCTGGTCTTATATAAGGAAAAACAATGGGGACTACTTTAATTTCACATTCTTAACTCTGTTTATCTCAAACCAGCCTTGCAGCAGTTCCTAACAGCAGAGAAGATGTATGGAGACCCCCTGCAACGTACAGGATGCTTGTTCGGTGGTCTCTTCCGGGACATCAGAAGAAGATATCCACACTACCTCTCTGATGTCTTAGACTCCATTAACATTACCTGCCTGGCTGCCTTTGTCTTTCTCTACTTTGCATGTCTCTCACCCGCTATCACATTTGGTGGTATCTTAGGTAAGTTGACAATCCTTGTGCCATTTTGATGATCTGAGGTTTGCACTCGAGACATTCGCTTTTAGCTTTATTTTGTCAGGGGTCTACAGTTGGGGTTGCGATAAGATTTAGATTAGGACTAGGGTTAGGTATAAGGTTGGGACCTAGAGAGGATAAATCTCAGATGTCCTTTAACATTACTTATCTACCTGCCTTTGTATTTCTCTACTCCGCTTAAAAGTGTATAGCTATCAGCTTTAGGGGTATATTTGGTAGGTTGACCCTCCTTGTGCCATGGTGATGATGGGACATTTGCTCTGGTGACATTTGATTTAGGCTTTAATTTGCGAATGATCCAAGGTAAGGGTTGTGGTGGGTTTAGGATTAGGGTTAGGCAATAGTGTTGGGTCCAGATTTGAAGTAAGGTATTAAGCTAGTGTTTGGAATTAAGCATGGAGCAATTGTTGCTAGACCTTGCACCATTGGTTGATGGCTTCCTTACCCCTCCCCCCCCCCAGGTGTCATTCCGAATGTAACTGTTGATAGAAAAGATGTATCCTGCACATTTGAAAGTTGTTTCTTATCTCCTTGCTAGTCCCCAATACTTCCTTGAATGCTTTTATTTTGGCAGGGCAGCTTTGTTATAGTCAGGGTAATAATAGTACTTCGTAGAAGCATTGAGCATCACCTGAGCTGGATATTTCATTTAAATTAATGTTACAAAAAATTGATAATCAAATTAACTCATATTTTGTCACTGTTTATTTCATTAGGCCATCATTTCACTAACTTTTGCTTTTCTTGACTATCTTAATATCTTTACAGGTGAGATGACCGGGGGTTTGATGGGTGTGTCGGAGATGATCATCTCCACGTCTCTCAACGGCATCATCTTCTCTCTACTTTCAGGGCAACCACTCATCATCGTTGGTCCTACGGGTCCAGTGTTGGTCTTCGAGGAGAACCTCTTACTGGTAAGGGTATGAAGGGGATGTGAAGGATGGCGATGTAATGATCTGTTGGTCATGGTAGTGTTGGTAGAAATGGAATTGTATGCTAATGGTAACTGTTTGATGATGATGGTGATGATATATTGGCAGGAGTGATGGTGGTAGTGAAAGTGATAATTATGGTGGTGGTGGTAATGGTTGAAATACAAAATTAATTAAATCTGTTTAAAAAAAAGTTTTTTTCTTTTTTTTTCTTTTTTTTTTCTCAACAAAATCGTTTATCAGAATGAAATCTTCAACCATTCTTTGGATGATTAATTTTTTTGACACAAAACTGCCCACAGAAATGTTATTATGCCAAAGTGGTCTTCCTTGTAATATATACTTTTAGAGCAGTTAAAGATAATGATTCTCCTCACCACTTAAAACTAGTCTACACTCATCTTAATATTACAGCTGTTTGATAATGATAATTACTGATTAAATTGGCTTGAGAATGATTAGTACAGGTAGTTAAAAACATGTTCTTATCTTTGGTGACAGCATACTATGTAGAACATGAATATTGAATGATGACATTAATGTCTGCATATCTTTTTCTTCTGTTTCTAGTTTTCTAAGGCGATGAATATCGAGCTGTTACCATTCCGCGCATGGATCGGTATATGGACGTTTCTCATAGCAACCATCTGCGTGGCAGTAGAGGGCAGTGTTCTAGTCCGACATTTCACCAGATTCACTGAAGAAATATTTGCTCTTCTCATATCCATCATCTTTATATACGAGACTGTCAGTGGACTGAAATATGTAAGTTTTTTTGCTTTTTATCGCTGGTTGATGAATTTGAACAATGCTAAAATTGTACTTTCACGAATCAGAAGGTTTGTATTATGATAGTGGCAAATTGGTTTCAACATGGAGGTAGAAAATTCTAATCTTTCTGTGTGAGCAGTCTTGTCGAGAACAGCATCAGGGTACTACTTCGTTTGCTGTCCAACAAGAAATTATACGAGCAGTTGTAAGGAGTTGTTATCTACCCAGTAAGAGTACTGCTAAACCTGATTAAGTCTTGATCCTTAAAATTTAATGGTTTGAAATTGGCAACTTCAGGTTGGTTCTTAACTTGGTGCGTTCTGTTGCATGTAGCATTCTAGTCATGGTAATCACTCCCATTTAACTACTGTAATAACAAATGATTGTTTATTATTCAGAGACTTTGTTCTGGATTATTCTTGATATTAGCTTTCACAAGATTATCTCTCCTTTATTTTCTCCTTTTCTATTCCTCTCTGGCTTGGTGTTTCTGTCTCTGTGTGTCTGTTTATCTCTCTGTCTGTCTCTCTCTCTCTTTGTGTCTCTTTTTCTGTCTTTCTCTGCCTTGCTCTCTCTCTCTCTCCCTCTCTGTCTCACCCTGTCTGTCTCTGTATTTCTCTGTTTCTCTCTTTTCTTTTTATGTCATTCTCCAGGTGGCATGTCAGAATCCCTTTCAGGAGAACTACTGCCTCGCTGATCTGAACACCACCATGTACCCACCTATGTACAACGCATCCAGCATCTACGCAATACCCACCGATGCCAGCTCCATCACAGGCTCGTCAACACCACAGCAATTCGATGTTACATACTTTGATGACATTATGATGAATGCTACGGCTCATTATGGAGATGATAAATATGGCGAGAAAGGGGGGAAGAAGAAGAAGAAATGTTACGTACCAGCTGGATGGGATCCCAAGCCTAACACGACACTCATGTCAATCATTCTGACGTTTGGCACGTTCTTTATAGCGTTCTTCATCAGGCAGTTTAGAAACAGCAGATTCTTGGGGAGAACGGTATGTTAAATGTTCCTCATTACGACAAACTGTTGGTTTTGCAGATATAATTAGATGAAACTCCTCTAAAAGTATTCAAGTTCATTTAAAATCCGTTCTTTTTATACACCAATAAGTATGAAATCTCATTGTGATATTGAAACTTTTAATCCCTTTGGTCCAGTTAAGTATGAAAAGAACATACCTTATATAAATTTTATCAGTGTACAGAGGTATGTAAGAAACTAAATAATATATTTCCAATTGACCATACATATTCAGATTTGACATATAAAGTTATGGTTTCCTGTATAAAATGAAGCATGATATTTCTAATTTTGAAATGTGTAATAATTCATACAATATAAACTTATTGGGCCTTTACCACCCAGAATTTTTATAGAAGAAATAAATAGCATAAACAACAGTAGACACACATTTTCCATCACCACTTTGATAATAGTGCATCTGTTTCTTGACTAATAATTTTTTCTTCTTTTTACTACAGTCAAGAAGAGCTTTTGGTGACATTGGCATCGCCATAGCAATCACTGTCATGGTAACCATATCATACATCACCAAGAATGTCTATCTCCAGGTGAGTTCATAGAAACTGTTTTGCTTTATTCATGCTTTTATACTTTTTATCTAAAAACACATATATATATACATATGATGTATTGAAAATACAGTGAAACCTTTAGCGACCACCTGTATAAATAGACCCATTTTCTGTTTCTCCTTGCTATTGTTTCTCATTAAAAATGTACTGTAGGAACCTCTACATAAAGACCAACTGCCTGTAATGACCAATGTCCTTGTCTAGCTTATATACAGGCTTCACTGTAAAAAAAGAAGGAATTACGCAGTACCCAGGCACAACTTGCAGAGCCATGGCAGATTTCTTGCCAAGAATAACATTGTTATGAAAGATAAATTGTCCCTTACTTGACGTTGGTCATTTTTCATTGAACTTTCTGTAATTGTTTTTTCTTATATTTTAAATGAAATTCAACGATTCAACTATCCCTTGAATATTCCTTAAAATGGGTCAATCCCAACGTAATATTATGTGATTTCAATTACATTTTCAATTTGTTTTATATTATACCAGCTCTGTGTTTGTGTTCCTCTCTCTCTTTGTTCTTCTTTCACCCTCTCTCTCTCTCTCTCTGTCTCTCTCTCCCTCTCTCTCTCTCTGTCTCTCTCTCTCTCTCTCCCTCTCTCTCTCCCTCACTCTCCCTTCTCTTCTCCCCTTCTCTCTCCACTCCCTCTCTCTCAACATTCCTTTCCTTCTCTCCTTATCTCCCCGCTCCACATTTGTGCTTTACTTCTTTCTTCCCTTTATGAGTTTAATTGGGTTTTTTTTCGTTGAATTATTGTTAAATAACGAATTGTAAATATAATGTTTTTTATTTTTTTAATAAAATCTCTGTAATTCAGCCATTGGCTGTGAAATGTTGATGACTAAATACCATACCATACCATACCATGTGATTATAATCCTGTACCATTGTTTTTAACCCACAGAAACTCAGTATTGGCAATGGCTTCGCTCCTACGGATCCATCCCAGAGAGGCTGGGTTATCAATCCCATGGGTATGACCCAGCCCATGCCAATGATTGCTATTCTAGGTGCTTCTGTACCGGCATTCCTTGTCTTCATCCTACTCTATATGGAAACGCTTCTCACAGGGTAAGTGTGTCTGTATGATGATGATGAGGAGGAGGATGATGGTTAAGATGATGATGATGATGATGGTGTTGGTGTTGATGTTGAGGAGAAAGAGGAGAAAAGTTATGATGATGATGATGGTGTTGGTGTTGAGGAAGAGGGGGATGAGGATAGTTATGATGATGATGATGATGATAACGGTTATAATTGTAGTGATGATGATGATGAAGATGAAGATGGTGATAATGATGACGATGATGGATAATAGTGGTAGTGGTTGTGATGATAAAAATTATGATGACGATGTTATGGGTCATAGTCATGGTCCCAATAATCATTGATAATTGAAATTATAATGAATTACATGTATTTCAGAGTAAATTTAAAATTCAAAAATTATCATCTGGCTTACCGTAATTTCTTCATTTTCCACCTCTTCAGGGTCATTGTTAACAAGAAGGAGCACAAGCTTAAGAAAGGGACCGGTTTCCATCTCGACATGTTCATCATGGGGTTCCTCACAGCCCTCTCAGGAATCCTAGGTCTCCCTTGGATGTGCGCTGCTACCGTCCGGACAGTCTCCCATGTGACCAGTCTCAGCGTCAAGACCAGGACAGATGCTCCTGGTGTCAAGCCAAGGCTTGATCATATCAAGGACCAAAGGATGACCAATTTCTTTGTCAGTCTTGCCATAGGTCAGTTTCAATGATAATAATACATTTAGGCTCATTCTTGGGGAATGAGAGAATCCAGCAGTGAATGGGTTAAAAGCAAATCTTGGTTTCTGGTGATAAAATCACACTTTTTGAGAAACGGGCTTGTATTTGCTTCTGCTTATACCAGAAATATATGAACGAACTTGCGGACATTTGCTGGAATTGTTTTCGCTGAAATGCACAGCTCATATGATTTGATAATAAGAGATGATCATTTAATTTATCACAAGGAAAATGCATCTATATTTTCAGCTGCTTCCTCAACCCTTATATGTACTGCAGTAAATGGAGTGTAGATATCTTTCACTTTAAAAGACTTTTGTTGCCCCTTCTAATGATTTTGAAGAAAACTGTGACCTTGTAAAATCCCTGCCCTCTTCAAATGACTTTGCAGAAAATATGATTGACAGATATTAACAAGAAATATGCTATTGGAATTTTAATTGAAAATATTATGGTGAAATTAACAATAAGAATGACAGGTGTGCTTCTGTAATGAACAATCTTGTTGATTTGGAATGTGGGATAGAGAAGGTACGGTGTTCATTACAGGAAGGGTGTTGATTACAGGAAGGGTTATTGATTTAATTCTGTAAGGGTAGTTTGTTACATTCTCATCCAGTCATGACCTCTCTATTTGTGCATAACATTAAGCGGGTCGTAATTATTGAGGGTCATATTTCCTGTTCGGGGCCAGAAGAGCATTGATTTGTATACTTTTAACACAGAGTTAACAACCTTCTGGCTCCATCCAGACAAAATAACTCTTTCCAATCCAATATCATAATAAGATCAAGATAAGGTCAACAACAAAAAAGAGCAACATGTACTGGCACTTACTTAAACCAATGATTACATGCCTTACATGAGAAGTATCAAAAGTTATATTTACCTGAAGATGTAGGTGAAGGGAAATTTAAGACAAGTTCACTTTCATTTTATTAAATCTTTGAGGAAAATATTGATCTATTAAATAATTTGTTTTGATAGAAATTCTTGTTTCATGATTTACAAACTTTAAACTGTTGTGTTATATTTGGTTTTAACTATTCTTCTACAAAAAGTATAAATTAGAGTAAAGACCTGTTATTAATGTTATCGTCTATATTTATTGTGATTTACAGGTTTATCATTATACATGGCACCGTTATTAAGAGAGGTGCCTATAGCCGTTCTACTAGGAGTCTTCATGTATCTGGGTCTGTGCTCATTGAGTGGTCTTCAGATGATTGAGAGGATAAAAGTCTTCTTTATGCCAAGTAAACATCATCCTGATGTCAAGTATATCAGAATGGTAAGTAGAGGAGTGAATCGATGATGGTTGAGTGGATAGATATATGTATGGATGGATGGTTTGATTGGTGGATGGATGGATGGATGGATGAGTAGATATGTGCTCATTGAGTGGTCTTCAGATGATTGAAAGGATAAAAGTCTTCTTTATGCCTAGTAAACATCATCCTGATGTCAAGTATATCAGAATGGTAAGTAGATGAATGGAATGATGATGGTTGAGCGGATAGATGGAGGTAGACATGAATAGATGGTTGGATAGATAGATGGTTGGATGGATGGTTGGATTAAATGATGGGTTGAAGGGTGGAAAAATGGATGAAAGGGCAGATAAATAGATAGATTAGATCAATATATAACACGAACATAATTCCTAACATCGACCCTGGCCCTAACGCTACATTATACATGAACATGTACCTATCCCTGACCTAACCCGAAACCCAGCATTAAACACAAAGTCTCAACACTGATTTAAACCCTAATCCTTTGATAAAGTAATGTCTGGAGCAAATGCAGGACCATATGTCATATCACTGTTTGTATACATGTATATTGAGCAACTAAATTACCCATACCCCTTGTAAAGTTCATGTTTTTTGTCATTACGTAACTCAACATTAAAAGGTGGATTGGTTGAATCGGGGCTTTGTTGAATACGTTTAGATGTAAACTTTAAAATGTCACATTCTCAAGAAATATAAATCAGGAGAAATAAATTTTTCACATACTAGAAATATTACAAAACTTGGTAAGGCTATGAATGATTTAGTTGTTACTGTATATGTAGTAACACAGAAAGAACTGAACTCCTAATTGTTTTTTCTCCAACTTTTAATTAGGTGAAAGCATGGAAGATCCATCTCTTCACCTTCATCCAGCTGGTATGTCTAGTAGCTGTCTGGATGATCAAGACTTCCGTCATCGCTATCTGCTTCCCGTTCTTCTTCATCCTCCTCGTCGCAATCCGCAGGCTTATGAGGTTCATCTACACTGACCAGGAGCTTGAAGCAGTAAGCCTTCATCCTTTCATATTACTGGACTTTCCAGTCTAGTTAATCAAAGACTTGTTCAGAACAATATTCCACAGTCACAGTGACAAGACCAACACCAGACTGACAATAGACACATCAACATTTACATAATTCTGAACTGTCAAGTTATTGGTCTGTTTGAAGTGCTGTGTTGGTGTAACTAGGATAATAATATTTTGCTTTTCATTACAAGCCTCTGGGAAACTCTTTTGTTTTTAGTATTATGCATTATTTGAACACAGTAAACCGATTCTTAATTGCATACATGTACATATATTTAGAGCCCAGTTTTGTGATTTAGGTTATTTTTTCAAGTTTAAGATGAGCTCATAATGTATTGTAAATTGTAGATTGCATTATCGGTAAACTAATGGATGTATGTGTTTTTTGCTTTTTCTTTCTTTGTACAGTTGGACAGTGAAGAATCTGAAGAGGAAGGGGGTGGATCAATGGCTGATGAATACCATGCTACTCACATGCCTGTTTAGATGTACACTACCAACTATACCAAGCTGAAAGAGTGTCAAGCACCAAACATTAAATGTCAAGCACCAAACATTTAGTGTTATAGTTTATAAACACCCAGTGTTATTAAACTGGATCAAGTATATTGCATTAAAGGGAGAGGAAATGTGCAATGCTTGTAACTGTCTTTATAACAGATTTATCCACATGGCATGCATTTTATATTAATTGGTGTAATACCATACACTTGGTGCTACATTTGGTGTTGTATGCTTCAGCACTCTGGTGTTTATAACTGAAGAAAGTACAAGCTAGTTGTGCTGGCTTTAATTTGCCAGTGTATCACCTTTGTAGTTTGCAAAGAGAGCACTCTCGGAGTGTTAATAACTGAAAAATGAACAAGCTAGTTGTGTTGGCTTTGATTTGCCTGAGTATCACATTTGTAGTTTGCAAAGTGAAGACCTTTAAGGTGCATGATTTTCCTCTTTTTTTCACTTGAAGGACATTCTAAAGTAATGTTCTGCAGGACGTCCTTAAGAGCTATCTGAAAAGACATTTGTTAACATCAATTACCAAGTCCTAGTGCATGAATATCACCAATGTTAAAGGTTGCTCTCTAAGAAGGTTCCTGTGTATAGACAAGAGTAATATTGAGCTTTAGATCACCAAGCTACATGAGCTGTGCTATCATTATTGTCATTGAAGTCCTGTTCATTTATGATACAATAGATGCTCACAATAATCACCTTAACCAACAAGAAAAATGAAAAGCTTAAGAGTCAATGAATGGCTAAAGGCAATATCCTGGGGATACACCGAGTACAAACCAAAGCTGTGTGTAACTATGTCCCCTGTGTGTACCCACTGATCTGTGTTTTAAAAGATCCTTAAATGTGAAGCTCAATTCACTAATCTAATCTGGTTTTACTAGTCTGCATAATTTTTTTCCCTCTTCATCTTCCTTTTTAAAGCAGTTTATATCTGAATAGACCTTCAGAGTAGACAAGCCAAAGTAATACTAATGCCAAAGCTGTATGAAAGTAATCTATATGATGATTACAGTAATTTTGTGCTGTAGTTAATGGCTCTACATTTGTCTGTAGAATCAAATGCGCAATCAGAATTCCAAATTTCCAATTATTAATATGTATATATTTGTGTATCCCAAACTAGGTGTGCTTGTACAAGAATTTTTGCAAATACTACTTGCAAATATTATTTTATGCATTATTAGGATACATGTATACATTATGTAGAATTAAAAGCTCTTAGTGACTGTGCAATTGATTATTTTCCAAGTATTGATACATGAGCTGGCTGTGTGCCAATTAACTGTGTGCTCTTCATGAAACCTGGGGTGTCAAAATCCTGCAATTCATAGTAGATTGTCTATGAACAAATTTCCAGGAGTCACAATTATGCTAAACATATATGCTGTGTATCCATGTCGGAGTTAGCTTACATATTGTATGCTGGATATTACAAGCTTCTAAATGTAGCATCTTTCAGTAGTTTGGTTGGTTGTTTGGTTTGTTGGTATTACCTGACTGCTAAGAAAGCTTGTGTGTGCTTGTAAGTATATAAGCAACCTGGGGGACTGATGGCTTCAGTTCCTCTCCAAGGAACTTGATAATGAGAATTAATGCCCTCTACAAAGGGGAATAATGCATCGACTTGGTTTCCAACTCGGGACCTTCCAGTTACAAGACCATTGCTCTACCACTGAGCCATCACGCTTTCTTCGTGATAAAAATGAAAATATAACAATTATAAACGATCCCTGATAGTGTTAGAGCACTACAAATGGTGATAGCCAAGCGTTTAATAATGGGTATAGGTAAGTTCCATTATTTTATTATTGCATTCCCTTTAAGTACTGAGACCTTTAGGGCAAGGATGCAAATTACTTTGGGAGCATACCTGTGCCTATATCAACATGTTCTTTCAATACCATAAGCATTGATTACTATTCTAGATTTCAAAGTTGCAGGCAATTTATTTTAACATTGAGAAATGTTCAACTTCTTGAAACAGTCAGGCCTAAATAGGACAAATATTTGGAGTTAAAATGTACATATGTTAACTTCTGATGGTATTGATATTGTTAGCTCATGGTATATTTAAGAATTTGATGAGCTTTAAACATTAATATTCTTGTTCCTACACACATATATGGTCTGCTGAGAGCCAGAAGGGCATTATGTCCTATTATACTGTAATTATACAGAGTTAAAACAAAATTTATTCTTTGTTTTTAGTCTTGCCCTGTGATTTTGACTGATACTTTTATACATTTTTAGGGGTTCCTTGATTATGTATATTGCATTATCAATTAGTTTTGCTTGCATGCCGGTAGAAGATATGAGAATTTTTGTGTTAAAATCATTTTTATTGTAGTTATTATTATTGATCTATGAGCTTCCATATTGCAGATAACAGGTGCAATGACTGTGAAATGTAACTTGATCTAAAAAAATTCTTTCTCTTGATTTGAAAACTAACCTATTTTTCTTTACAAATAGAGTCATGAATAAAAATGTATTTAGGTCTCGTTTCTTTTTCATTTTTTGTTTCTAAAGACAATTTTTGAAATAGGGGAGTACATCCTTCATCAATATTAAATATTGAATTGCAGATAAGCAGAAACTATTTTTATGAAACTTTCTCTTCACTGTTCCTCTTAGCAACATTTTATAAAGGATGAATTGCCATTTTTTGCATGATGTTTGGAAGTGGTTGCTATTATATATTCGAAATTATTGTATTATACTTAGATAAAATACATATATATATATATACATGTATATTTCACTTGTGAATTGTTGACATCAAATCTATTTATTTTTTATATGTTGCCTTCTCATATGTTATGTTTTCATTATATTTTAACAATTTTACATTGTGTTTTTGGATAGGTATATTTTGTGTATACGAAGCCAAGATTGATATAGAAGAATTTTTTAAAACATGATGAGTCGACTATACTTCATGCATACATCCATCCCTTTGCATTTTCAACTGCTTTATTTATCTTCTTTTTTTTAAAATACTTCTACGTACTTAACCTTATTACTTTCAGTTAATAACTACAACTTCTTCCAGACCAAAAGTGGCTAGTATAGCTACACTAGTTTAGGAAATACTAAAAGATATGTATCAGAGCTTCTTAATCATTGTTTGTACTTTTATAAAGAGGATGAACTAATCACCTTCTTTCTATAACCTTTTCTACTGTTCTACACATTTTAATGATTACCCTTTTTTAAACAAAATTTTTATTCGTCTTGGGAATTTTTCCTTTGTATGTGTATTTAGTATATAAATGAACATAAGCATGTCCTTGTGCATGTTGAACAAGACATTTTAAAGGTGCAACTACCCATCCACCAGAATTCACTAAAATAGATTAAAACATTATTGGTCAAAGTTTACCCAAGTTTAATCTGAAGTACTGGATTTTAAGCTTTTTTCTTTTCTTTTACAAATTCTAAATTATTCTACTCAGGTAGTAAGGCATTTGATTTGTTTTTAAAATTTGTTTTCAATTATTATATTTTTGATTTAGATATGAGAACTACAGATTAAATCTTTGTTTTTTTAATATTGCTTATTGCTTATTTTCTGGTAAAATGTTTAGATTTGCCAAAGTTAATTGTCATACATGTATATAATGTAAATATACATATATATTCTTTGATATTTCTTTCCCATCATTGTATGCATACTGTGTTTGCCATACTTTTTCAGTGGGTGAGGTGCAGAAGGAAGTTTTGTGAAGTTCATATGTACTGACTTAACTCCCTTTTGCTCTTCACCAAAATTCATTATGATCTTCCAAGCAATATGTAAATAAGAGAGAATGTTTAATCTAGTGACTACCTAGAACAAATTATGTTATGTCTTTCAAAATGTGAAGATAAGAACAGTCAAGGTAGATCCAAATTTGTTGAGGATAATTTTGAGAATTTGTCCTTTGTTATTTCAGAAATAAAAAAGAATGAGTATTCATATCCTCTTTGTTATCTAATCACAGATCTGTGTGACTGTTTCTTGTAAAAAGATTTATTACATACCTGCCAACCCTTCCGAATAATCCGGAATATTCCAATTTTTCAACAACGAATTTTTTAAATTTTTGTGTGCTTAAAGCCAAATTAAGCTTGTTTTATCATGTGTCGCGATTTGAGAGTTTACGTATTGCATGCGTTGCGGCTGCATAATAGAGCAGGGAATTTGTCTTTGCTTTTTGGTACATATTTATCTCGTATTGCCAGTTACACTGCCATTGCATTCTGGTCGGGACGTTCTTATTGCATTCGAGCCGCATTCGAGCGGCAATCTAAAGATTCCGACGGCATTCGAAGTGCATTCCAGTTGGATTATTTTAGTACCCAAAATATTAAAATAGATTCGTGCGGTAATCGAGATGCATTCGTGACGTACGGTTCCATCTGCATTCGAGCCGCATTCGAGCCGCATTCGAGCGGCAATCTAAAGATTCCGACGGCATTCGAAGTTCATCCAAGTTGGATTCTTTTAGTACCGAAAATATCGAAATAGATTCCGGCGGCAATCGAGATGCATCCGAGGTACATTCGTGACAGTCTTGCATTCTGGTCGGGACGTTCCAACTGCATTCGAGCCGTATTCGAGCCGCATTCGAGCGGCTATCTAAAGATTCCGACGGCATTTGAAGTGCATTCAAGTTGGATTCTTTCAGTACCGAAAATATCGAAATAGATTCCGGCGGCAATCGAGATGCATCCGAGGTACATTCGGGACAGTCTTGCATTCTGGTCGGGACGTTCCAATTGCATTCGAGCCGTATTCGAGCGGCTATCTAAAGATTCCGACGGCATTCGAAGTGCATTCAAGTTGAATTCTTTTAGTACCGAAAATATCGAAATAGATTCCGGCGGCAATCGAGATGCATCCGAGGTGCATTCGGGACAGTCCTGCATTCTGGTCGGGACGTTCCAACTGCATTCGAGCCGTATTCGAGCGGCTATCTAAAGATTCCGACGGCATTCGAAGTGCATTCCAATTGGATTCTATTAGTACCGAAATTATCAAAATAGATTCCGGCGGCAATCGAGATGCATCCGAGGTGCATTCGGGACAGCCTTGCATTCTGGTCGGGACGTTCCGAATGCATTCGAGCCGCATTCGAGCCGCATTCGAGCGGCAATTTAAAGATTCCGACGGCATTCGAAGTGCATTCGGGACATTTATACATTCTGGTCGGGACGTTCTAAAGGCATTCGAGCGGCAATCTATTAATTCCGACGGCATTCGAAGTGCATTCGGGACATTCTTGAATTCTGGTCGGGACGTTCCAACTGCATTCGAAGTGCATTCCAGTTGGATTATTTTAGTACCGTAAATATCGAAATAGATTTAGGCGGCAATCGAGATGCATACGAGGTGCATTCGGGACATTCTTGCATTTTGTTCGGAACGTTCCAACTGCATGTGAACCGCATTCGAACGGCAATCTAAAGATTCCGATGCCGGCAATTCGAACTACATTCCAGTTGGGTTCTCTTAGTACCGAAAATATTGATTTGGGGGGGGGGGATTTTTTTTTTTTGTGATTTTTTTTTTTTAAATATTATTTTTTTTAATTTTAATAATTTCCTTTTTTTGAAGGCATACCGTGCTAAAAATTCCTAATTCTTTTTTTCAAATGTTGGCAGGTATGTTATTATAGCGAGAGAAAATGGTGTGTTAGTGATTTTTGTGTGTATGAATTTGCCCCTCTTGCAATTTGCAACTTTAAAAGAAGATAAAATATAAGAGGTTTTGAAAAGCATGCAAAATGTAGATTATAGTAATTCTTCAACAAAATACTAAAAATAGTGTATTGCTTAGCCTTCTGCACAACATTTAGTCTTCTTATTGTGGGTATCTGTACGTGTATTTAAAAAAAAAAACACTTGCACAAATTTCCTGACACATCCGATGTGGAAATAAAACCACGATGTTACAATTAAGTTATTTTTGAAATGTCCCAAGTTGAACAACCAATTAGATATGTCTGAAAATTTCGAGGTTCAAGCCGCAACTGATCTTTGGGAATACACCTTATCATATAATTAATGATAAACATACACTACTTATGACAGAATTGGTTCTCATAGTCCCATAATTGTAATATGGAACACATCTCATAGAAGTTGCTATATACTTTAGCTGCAAAAACAGCAGAAAATATACACCAGATGGAATGTTTCTGTTTAAAGGAAACTTATGCCTTTTAGTGATCATGACAAATTTATGCTGTGCTTTCGATGTATGTTATTTCTTTCAAACATGTAAATAAGTATGTACCTTTGTCATCTATATTATAGAGAGAGAAAGAGAGAGAGAGAGAGAGAGGGGTGGGTAAAGCAAGACAGGCAGACAAAAATATGTATATTAAAGGAAAGAAAGAGGGGTGAGCAAAGAAAGAGAGAGAAAGGGTGTGGTATATGAATAAACTTGGACTTGAAAGGGAGTTGGGAGAAAGAGAGGAGTGTGATTATTAAGAAGACATGACAAATCACTACCAAGACATTTTAATCCATTCTTTGTTAAACAAAGAATTAATTTGTAAGCCAGTAAGCTGCAATTTAATGGTACCTCGATTAATACCTCGGAACGATTAACCTTTGAAACGCTAAATGAAAGGATTTTAGTCTCAAAGATTGGCCAATTCGAGGAATAACAAAAGGAGAAGAAGACAACAATAAAGCAGACTCCGGGTTTCTCCTCGAAACAAAGTTATGCCAATTTAACCAAAGAGGACCCATGTATTGAAGTGGGATAAAGAACGTTTTAGGCAATGTAGTCGGTTTCAATAGATAAGTCAAACCCACGAAGATGTAATGGCGTAAAGAGAGAGAGGCCATTTACGTGATGCAGACATGCCAACTGTTTAGATTAAAGAGGAACATTCCTCTTTTTGGGAGAAGATAATTATCATTTTAATGCAGGTGTTCCTCTTCCTATGCAAATTTGTCTGTAGTATTGAATAGGAGAGTTAGGACTGTTCCTCTTTTTTTTTTTAAATAGCATAATTTGTACAGATTTCTGATTTTCAAATGTTGGCATGTATGGTGATGTAATCAAATTCAATGCGTGCATGTTTGTGGAATGCTACGATACAATATTTAATTCATTCAACAGCTGTTACAGTCAGAATGCGATTTGCATACATTAGTTGTTGCTATGTAAGACAAACATGGCTTGCCCTATATCAAACAAAATGTAATATACGCTTTTTGCATTCTGGCTAATGAAATTACATCATTCGTGACATGTGAATGGAATCATTCGAATCGAGGCACTTTAGAAAGACGTAATTATGCATTAAATTTGCATCACGAAATAGGTTTTTTTTTGTAATATAGCCTCAAGACGGTAGCTGGGAATTTGAGTAGGGGTATGTTTTGGTTACATAATGCAATGATCAAACGGGGAACCCGGTTATTTATGGTATAATAATAACGAATTTACTCCTTTGCTTGATTTTAGGGTTCCGATTTTCGAAGCACTTGTTTGGGATTTGTCTAATAATTTATAAAAAGAAAAACGGACTAAATTATGCTTCTTCGCAGAATCTGCAATGCAGCACAACCAGCTTATAGAAAGAGAGAGTCGAAGGGGCAAATTTTACCATGCACTTATATCCAGTTCAAGATATCAACTTTCAACATATTTATATTTTATAAACATTATTTTGTAGGCAAAGAATTGTAAATGTTAAATCGGAGGTACATTCGCTTGATCCTACGTGGAAGAGTCAACTATAGGCTAAAGGATGTAAAGTGCTGTAAACAAAAGTCAGAAACCATGGAAAACATAGTATTCGACAACTAAAGAGAAAAATAATGCAATTGTAGCATGTGAACGTCATGATTTAACAACTATAAAGTTGTCAAAAGATACACATGTACACATCGAAATTTAAAAAATAACATATTATGCAAAGTTGCATTTCTGAATTTCGCATAAACTTTTCAAAAACCAGTGTAGAAAAAAGAACGTGGTAGATATACTCAAGAAGCGTAATATAATAAGCATGTGCATGCAATGTTATTAGGTAGGACCGGGTGTAGGACAAGATGGGAAAGGGCAAAGAAAGAGAGGAGTGTGAGAGAAAGAAAGGAAGGGGGAAGGATAAATCCTATTTCAATCTTATAATGAATAATCTGAGCTTGCATTTCACAACTATGTATAGTATGATGCACATGGATGATCACAAATAATGCTCAATGTATCACGCAGAGATCATGCTCCAGTGCAACTTCCCCATTGGTCAAAGTTCTCACCAATATGATTGTAGTGTTTGCATGAAAATAATAGGAAACCCAATTTTAAGATGTGTGTACACTGAAGCGTATAAACGTTGGGTGAGAAGTTCATGCAGAGCTGAGTTCAAGTTTGGGCTTTCTCATCAGTCGCTTGTTGGAGGGCTTGATCGCTGGACTCATCGAGCATTATCTCTGGTTGGCGTGTGGAGACAAGATTTATCAGCATCAGACGACTCGCGTAAGGTAGGATAAATTTAGAATTGGCATTTACAAAAGGAGAAAGGTGCTTATTTCAATTATAGGTTTGTTGATTTTAAATGCAACATGGAAGACATGAGTTTTTACTCATTCTTAGTTCTGAGAAGTTATATCTTATCATGTGGTATAAAATTAAATTAAAAAACGACTTTTAAATGATTTCATCCAGTTGATTTTTATGTTTATTCATCCATTAAAACTTATCAACCAACTAGGAGTCCTGTTACGGATTGTGGTTTACTCTTTAAGACTCGCTCCTATACATGTTTTCACCAGAAAGAAAGTTGATTTTTATGTTTATTCATCCATTAAAACTTATCAACCAACTAGGAGTCCTGTTACGGATTGTGGTTTACTCTTTAAGACTCGCTCCTATACATGTTTTGTTGAATTGTACGTATTTGTTTAATGATGTTGTTGTTGACAACATTTCTTTTTAAATATTTTTTTAGGGGATTGGTGAATATTTTGTCTTGCT